AATGCCTTTTGCATGTCAAAAAAATGTATACTGGCAAATGATTATTATTTCACACATACCTGCACATTTTTAGCTTTGCTTTGTGCAATGTTTAGGCCTTGAAAAAAATGGACAGAATTTTAGGAGATTTCACCCTTTTTTGGGGTAAGCCTGTCAAGAAAAGACAAGAACAGAATGTTTTTTCTTTCGAAGAAAAAAAATATTAACCAAGCTAACTAAAAACCATACTGAGAGGAAAATTCAGTGATTCCCAAATGTTTACTTTGTTCGGTTCTATGTGGTGAATTAGTGTTCCCTTTTTTACAGTTGAGGTTTGTCTGCCATCTGCTCTGACATCACTCCTCAAAAGTGCACTGTTCAGCCAGTGCCACAAAGCACGCCTCCATCCAGCTGTGTATGTGTCTGTCTGTATGTGTGTGTTCCTCCAGCTGCAGAGGGAGAGGGGAGGATGTTTTGTCCTCGAGTCTGGAGACGACACTCTGTCAGGCGATAAAAAAGATCAGTCTAAAGTTTTCTTTTTCTGACGTGTGTGTTAGGCTTCACAAAAATAGCATTCAAATCTATTTACTAACATTCTTATTTTTTACATTCTTAATAACTCTCCAACATACACTGGATCAGAGAAAATATAGTCTAGGGGTGGGCAATATGCTGATATTTACCATTATTGCGATTATTTATGCCACATTACGTTACAATATGCTTAATTGAGCACATCTTGGATGTCATCAGTATTTAAAGAACACAAGCCAACTGCATGTTTAATTGCAAACAGAGCATAATAGGGAATATTTGATTAGATTTAGGGCAGTGCAGTGGGTGAAACATTATAAAATTATGTTTCACTTTATCAAAATTCTTGATAAAACTTAATGTTGTGAAATTTATTGTGTATTGTGAAAATGTTTTTAAGCATCATGTTCTATTTTTGGCATATTGCCCACCCCTAATATAGCCTATAACACCTATATAACAGTTTTCTTTCACTGAAGTCATCCCTTCCATCAATGAAAAGGGCCACTGCAGGACCTCCACTGACCAGCTATTACTTGGATGGTAACCCACTCTCAGTACAGCAGTTACACCAACATGGCTGTAGCATTCTACTAGCTGCCAGGCAAAGCAATGTCTTTGGGGGTTTTAAACACATCCCTGTCAATGCTGGGCTGAGAACATTTCACCAACTATTACACCTACCGTGGCCCTGTGATCAGAAGCTGACCACTGATGAAGGGCTAGAGAATGACTAACAAATGAAAATCGAAAAAAAGAGTGAAGTGGAAGAGTAAATGGAAAAAGACAGAATACAGTCACTAACTGTACAAGTACAATGTGTACTTGGTGTTCCTACAAAGTAGGTGTGTCTAATAAAGTGGCTAGTATAAACAGTGCACAAAACCCAATGTGCTCATACTAGCACAACACACACTAACATGTCAGTGTCACTACAGAATGAGAATGGTTCGCCACCCAGATAATATCTGCTCAGTAGTGACCCTGTGGTGGTCTCTTTTAACTGATGGACAAGATGGAAGTGGGCTGTTAAATTGTGCAGCAACAGTTAGGCTACAGTTAATAGTCTGCAAACTTACAAAGTGCACTTGTATAGTAGGCGTCTCTGATAAGCTGTCACATATATATATATATATATATATATATATATATATATATATATATCAAAATACTGCTAATACTTTCATACAGGGGCTTTGATCAGGCCTACAGTATGCTGCTAATGACAAAGATTATATCACTGCCAGCACAGAGTAATAAGAGAAGTGTGTGTGCATTGCCCTCAGGCTGCCACTCCCAGCCCAGCTTAGCAATCTTGTGTCTTTGCGATAACAATGGAATATCTCACAGTGCACACTAAATCATTCCAGCCTGCAGCGAGCTGGGTACAGGTATTCTGTTACAAACTGATAAAATGTTTTTTCAAATGCTCAATACTTGAAAGGTAGTATTTTTTGGTACTTTCTTCAAATGAATCTCATTATTTGAAATGTGTTTTTTGTATTATAAGGCTTGTGTATCCTTTTGTCTTATGGTTTATTATTCAGTAAATATATAGAAAAGCATTTCAAAATAATGGAGTCATTCTAAAGTTACTGGAGTGAGGAATGGAAGCTAGGACCTGCCAATAGCCCGCGAATTTGAAGAGTTAAAGATTAAATTACACAATCAACATAATGTTGTTGCAAAACAACTCAGGGCTTTTTACTGATATGGCCAAAATATCCCAAAAACGTCAGCGTGACTAGAATTTTAATTCCTCAAAGCTACAAAATAGGGCCAATTCCAAACAAAAAGAACGGCCAAAAAAAAGCTTTCTTACAGTCGTAAACACTAGTCATGGAAACATCATCAGCTAACCACATGACCACTACAGGTACACAGCAGTAAGATGAGACATTACCAAGTAATAAGAAGGATTACTCTCAGCATTGCAGTGCCCTGCGCTTTCAAACCAAATCAAATCAAAGAAAATAGTCAGGTTCTTAACAGCCCTGCATGTTACGAAAAGACCACTTAGTTCAGCATCAGTTATCTTATCACATTAGATGCTATCAGACCCCTTTATCTCTAGAGACTCGGTGCAAACCTGGGGCCAACGCAAATGAAGTCCTTCTTCCAGTCCTCAAAGGTGACTTCAGGAGTTTTACTATGGTGACATTAGCCTTGATTTCCAGGGTGACATTATCACCTGGATATATATCCACTGAACCAGAATCACCCCTCCTACTTCAGGGAAAGAGAGCACCTTTTAAATGGAAGATGTCAGTTGACCACAAACTTGTGATTTACTGCTGTTTGTCAAGTCTTGTAGTGACATTCATAGGGAACTTCATGAGCCAGTTCTGGCTAGATGATAAACAATGGCAACACCAGAGTGATTGTATTGCGCATTATTAAAGAGTGACCTATGTAGCAGCAGGTCTAAGTTTACAGGACTGTAATTTGTTAACTCATAAACTGACTTTATTAAATATTTAGGGCTATATATTATCTGTCTTATTGCAATTTATGTTGACACCTGCACCAAGACAAAGTCCCTGCATATCCTGGTGAATAAAAGACTAGTAACGCTGCTTTGGTGGTCCACTGCTATGCAGATGCTCACTTTGTCTTCAACTGATATTTTACCAAATATCTAATTAACTTCACTTTTCCCTAAAATATTTATTCAACCCTAACATTAAAGGAGACCAGTCATGCTGTGAAATAGTTTTGCTCAATTTAAAGACCAATGTTCAAAACAAAAAGCATCACATTTTGCATTATAATTTGAGTCATATAGTGTTGCAACTTCAGTAAGCATATATATATATTTTCTGTGGAATTACAATTTAACTCTTAGTCAGTCAATATGCCGACATGTCCAGGAAGAAAAGTCAGCCATTATTTCACACTGCTGAAAGACCGTGAAAGAGGTGAGAGGTTAAAAAATTGCCGCTGCTATAAATAACCTGAACTGTGACAATCATTTGTACTGAGAAACATTTGCATGTGTTCAGGCCAGAAGGTTTCATGAAAGAATTTAAAGTGCTCCCCTTTGAACTGTAACCTGACCTCCAAAACCAAAATCTAAATCTTACCCTAAACCGGCTCCTTATAACACTTTTCATAATCAAGTGAGTTTCACTAGAGTTAATCATTGGAGCATATGTAGATCATACATAGGGGACAATCAAAATGAAAAAGTGTAGAATTTGATTTTTATTGTGATTCCGTTGCAAGTTATTTCTCAATTAATTTAAGCCAACATAATACTGATAGAAGATAAACTTAAACCCATTGGAAGACCATAAACAGGCTCATTGGAGTCAACCCCATTCAAAAAACTACCAAGGCCTGCATAGTTTCCTAATAAGCACAATGGAAGTGTTATCTAATGCTGGAAGGGAGAAACTGAGGAGGCCCTCAAAGCAGCCAGGAGATCAGGAGAATATAGGTTAGCGGGTTAGGAGTGTGAGCTCCTCCTGGCCGGAGCCCCAGTGCTCCGCTGCTCCTCTCCCTCCTCCCTCCTCCTTCTTCTTACGTAACGACAGAGGACGAGAACGTGTCAGTGAGGGAGAACGGAGAGAGCAGAGAATCCAAACACAGGAGTTAATCACACAGACTGAAAAGAAATCTGTCGACTGTCGGTCAAGAACCTGACTTCCTAAAACGAGTAGTTCAGAAGTGAAAAAGGAAAAAGGGGTCTTCGTGTGCCCGACCGTGTGTATGTGTGTGTGTGTGTGTGTGTGTGTGTGTGTGTCTGCCCTAGCCTGTTACATAACTCCGCACGCAGGCAGAGGAGGGAGGAGGGGCACATGTCTGCGCTCTAATCGGACCTGAAATCTGCACTGTAGAAACTGTAGCCCTGCTAATAAACCTGTGAATGACATGCTAGCCAATAAGGTTTTAGCACGAGCCGAAATAGGGGGCACATAATGGGGTGCGGCTGTGTGTTTAGTGCAAAGTAAACAAAACAGATAGAACAGGACATGATGGTTTTAAATAGTAGTTACATTAGCATACGAATGTCATAATTCGTTCAATTACAAATTTCACGAGTGTTCTCAGACATTGCCGGAATGTCATTCTGTAGCCTGTGCAGGCTAATGAACCGCGCGCCTGGAGGCTTGAGCGCCACTGACAGCCTGAGCGGCCAAGATGACTCACAGAATCACAATAACTTAGTCAAAGTATCACAAACGTGTTCACAACTGACACCTAAGCTGTTAGGACACATATATCACCAGGATCAGGCAGCCAAAACACTTCACTGAGATGTGGCAGAAAAACACCACAAGCTGGGCCATTTTAATTAAGTAACTTTAGTTACAGAGCTACACAGAAACGTAAAACTGGACTGGCAGCTGCTCAAAGAGAATCTACAATAAGCTGCCGCTGTGAAGACCCAGCAGGGATATGAAGTTGGATTCGGCTCTCTCACATATCAGTTAAAATGTTCCATACGGTTTGTAGCTGTTTTCCCTCATGTTATAGAATCTTACCCCTGTTGGTGCTGGAGCAGCTCTGTCTTCTAGCCGGTGCTTGGTGCTCGGTCTCAGCCTTGGTATCCAGCTTTACTGGACTGGTCTGATCCGCAACGGGCGCCGTCGAAGCACCTTCGGCCGGATCCGTCACGGGCTCCGGCCCTTCATCCATATTTCCCCGTTAGAGCAAATTATTCCCGTAGGAGGAGATGTTTCTTTGACAGTTTTCTTCTTACACCGCCTCTTCGTATAGGCTGCACTTGAGACTGGCTGCGATAGCGCTGCTGAGAGGAGCGGGTGGGGTTGGTCTGTCCACACACGGCGCTGTGGAGCCCGCCACAACGGCTACAGTATTCTATTTTTCACTAGAAATCTGACAATGAATTTGCCTTTTTTTGCAGTCAAATCGCCAAATAATAATAAAGTGATTTTGAAAATCATTGAAGAATTGTGCGGTGTTTGCTTTATTTATTTCCTTTAGAGAATCTACTGGGCATTTGATAGCAGTCTGTGTGCCTATCTCGCTGTTCCAGTTTGAGCAGATGAAGGAAAATGGATGGATGATCTGGTGAAAGAACGAACAAAACACACACACACACACACACACACACACACACACACACACACAGCATGCTTTGGCATGTGATGAGTGAATATGCTGCTGACGTACTTCCGCTAAACGCCGCCCCTAAGACGTTGCACGAGGCACCATGCATGGCTGCATATTACGAAGAGATACAAGAAGCAGACTGAAACTCTACGATACGTGATGTTAAAAAAATGCAGCATAAAACGTTGGAAATTACCCCATGTATCACTGGAAGATGTTAAAGGGGAATCACATCGCTTTTTCAAAATTTGAAATGGTTAATGGTTTTCTATTAAATAAACTTATCATGTCAAAATTATACTCAGTTGATGAGAACCGGACATCTGACGCTTTTAATGCCCCTAAAACTACCTCAATGGAAGTTTTTACATGAAGCAGTGATGAATATGCTGCATGATATTGTTTCACAGCAGTTTTGTGATCAGACTTTGGCCTAAAATGTATTTAAAATGATACATGACAGTAGTTTTGGATAGCTAATAAAATGGCTATATTTGAGCTGTACACACTGTAACCCCTCGTTCCTATCACCACCATTGTACAGAAACCGAGTCAGTAAATTTCTCTAAAATGACAGAGAATTAGACAGTGGTTTTGAAAAATTGGTAAAATTACCCATTAACCTTTGTAGTTGTCTGGATAGTTACGCAGCTTTTAGCCAGTTGACCTACTTACCTTGTGTTAGAATAGCTTGAGCAGCCTAAAACTTTTATCAGGTAAGCAAGAACAGAGCTCCTAATACACTCCCTGGCTATGTCGCAGAAAGATAAATTGTGTAATTTTACAGCCCAACCGTACAGTAAATTCTCTCGATCGGCCTTAAATTTTACAGCATAATGTAACCCATTTTCCATACTTCTTGATGTGCTGTAGCACTTGCCAGTAGCACGCATTACAGACACGGAATCACTGATAAGCAGCCTACAAAACTACAGTCTTCTACTGTTAAAAACACTTCAACTCAACATAGAGAGTGTTTGTATTTAAGTATTGTTTACTGTGCCCATGGGTCTCTAGTAAGCAAAGCTAGCTATTTATGTTCTTATGTGACAGTATTCACACCATGCTTCAGAATACAGGTCCTCGCTAGTATAGCGCACCTTCAAATTTGGTTTGTGGTTAGAGAACAGTTTCGTTAGTGCTATAGCATATTAGTATGCTCCACCGACTGCCCTCAGCTGAAGTGTGTGACATGTGAGGCCTAAGTTATCTTTAGCCACTGAACTGATCCTAGACTAGTTTTCTGTCCATGATGACATTGTTCTAAATGTTCAAGCTGAGCTGCACAATCTTGGGAGAAACTGCTTCAGCCACAATTCATGACATGCTAAAGTAGGAAGATGTGATGTCAATAAGAAGTGCACAGAACACTAACTTGAGGTGATTTTATGTCGTTAGAAAACGATTATCTAATGGTTGGTGAGTTTAAAGCATAAATTGGAGATTACACGGGTGGGAGTTGTTTGTTCTACAAAAGGAATGTAGCCTACAATATCAAATTATTGCACATAAAGCCAGAAGCTAAAAGCCCAGTTGTGTTATTATAGTTCACAAGGTGCTTGTTAGGTATGATTTGTCCTTGAAGAATGGGCTGCCTGACTAGTAAAAGGTCCTGAGAAAGTGACCTAATTACACACTTTTGCTTTTGTGCTCTTTTACCCTGCCCAATAACAATGGGACTGGCCACTATAAAGGAAACAGTTGGGCCTGGACTGGACATGGAAAGCTCCACTGCAGGGCAAAGGATAACCAACCCTACTGTCCTGCCCATTTCAGCACAGCTGGTTATGTTAGTTAAGCATGAGGTTACGAAAGCAGTGTTAATATTAAGAAAACAGTATCTAAGGTGGGAATGTATTACTTATGGTTGCTAGGGATGGGACTGGTTATGTTTTCACTACTTGGAACAGTGCAGCATGCCAAGAACATGACTTTGTTCTTTGCACCTCCCATCATACACCTCTGCCTCTCTCTCTCTCTCTCTCTATTCACACACACAAAGTTACAGTTAATCTCTTTCAGTAAGTGCTCTACCTTGCAGCTAGACATAACCTGGAACCCTCCCAGTGACAAATATTATGCAGTTTTATATCTGAGTCACAACTCAGCCTGTTCAGCACATTACTGTGCCTTGAGTTTATGAACAGAACTAAGGGTTCTATGAGAGAATGGTATGTGTAGTACATCAGAATAAAATGTAACACAAAAAACTTAACTGGCCATGCATGTATGTAAGCTGGACAAATGCCTATTGATAACAAATTGATTTGTAGTGTTGTGCAAAAGTCAGAGACCATCCTTCATTTATTAAAAGTTATTCACTTTTCAGAGAATATTTGTGTGGAGATTACACATAAAATAATCCACTTGCAAAAGGAAGGGGAAAGCCAAACTACCGCAGCCAAGTACTAAGACTGAGCTTTGATGTGGAAAAATTAAAGCTTCTATGCAATTGTTTGTTAAACATGTTTTCTGTCGTTTTCCTGATGCTGAAAAATGCATAACTTGTACATAATGGTCATTGTGCCTGGAAATAAAATAAATATAGGGTGGTCCCTGACACAGGACGGTAACAAGACTGCAACAACTCCTACAATTCAGCAGAAAAAAGGCCTTAGAGTGCAGAGATTATTTCTGAACATGAAATAAGTTTATTGTATTTCTGGATATGATTTTTCTTTGGTGTTCTAGATTCTCATTTGCATAGTAAAGCCTTTACCTAAGTTCAACAAACATCATTTTTAGAATGGAATTCCACAAACAAACGTACAATTATCTTTGTTCTTCATTAGAAAAAAAATAAAGTGTATTACTTCAATAGATACATAAAGCAAACCTACTTTTTTTTCTTCAAGAACAGTACTTTCATTACTGAAAGTGGTAATATTCATATGATTCACTCTTCACAATATAGCCATGTAAAGCAATAATGTCTAGTTGGATGGTTTCATGTTTTGACGTGATCTACCACATCATTATGCTAATTACCAAATTTACATTTACTAGTTAACAGGTACATGTTCTGGTAATCATAACACATCAATCAGAGAAATATCCAAAGAAATTACACAAGTTAACTGTGTGGTAATTTAAGAACAAAGAAAGCACTAGTGAACTCAGCAAACAGAACGAAGCAGGACTTGTGGAGCATGTGAATCAAGGATTCTTTCAGTTATGAAGGAAATATCTAATACCAGGTAAAAGACTCTCAAACTCTCAAATTCCACCATCCAATCCTGTAGAAGCCCACAGAGTGCACTACAAAATGCATATATAACTATAAGTGAACCTCAAAATACATTCAAAGGAGCCTGTTCAGTTCTCAGGAAGTCTCACGGAGGCATGGGATGAAGTAATGGAACAGAGAAAGCACAGAAAAAAAGGAGAGCGAATCCAAAGGAATGGCTTAGGCCCAAATGGCTGTGACTGTGATCTTCATTGACAGAAGCAACACGATAAATTTATTGTGTTACATCAAACAGCATGACAATGACACATAATACAATGCTCATTGAGATTTTCATGGCCAAAAAATTAGAAACATTTATCACTGGAGAAGGCTAATAGCCCTTATCACAAACAGAAATTAATTGATGACTGCAGTACAAGCATGACAGAGCTCTGGGTGGTGATCTCATTCAAAACTGCATATAGTTACACTAGGGATTTACGTGGCTTTTAAGATACCACAAGTGCAAAAGTGCTTGAAACTAAAGCTGCACCAGTGTTCACTGTGTCATTTCAAATTGAAGTGCAATAGTCAAGAACCAACGTCAAAAAAAGCTGCTAGCCAAATAGAGCTTATGGTGTGTATATATAGACAATATGTGAAATATAAATTTAAGAGCAGCGCAGTAAACTGTGTTTACATGCAGTGCTGTGCTATTCAGTACTGTGCTTGTTTGTGCTTTAGTAGTGAAGGACAGCACAAGGCTGTGGTCAGTGGGTCAGCTCAGGCTGTGCTGCCAGTTTGCTGCATTTTGATGAAGCGCTGGGATTTCTGTCTGACCATCTGATGCTGCTGGCGTGCGTGCTGGGCCTCCATGATGGCATCTCGCAGTTTCTGTGAAGCAGAAGACAGGGCATGTTTAACCTTATCCTGCCTAATTGTCAGCAATAATATTGAAGGACTATGTCTTTTAAGGGGAATTCAATTTTTTTCCACCGGTTCTATACATTTTTAAGTCATTGTGAAGTAGTCATTCAGAGTGGTCTGATGTGAAATTGCATTGTACATTGTAGAGAAAAGTACCAATTGATTTTTTTTACAGTGGTGATAGGAACTATGGGCTGTGACGTCTACAATGCAAATACAGCTGTTTTAGTTGCTGTCCAAAATGACCAGTGAGCCTACACCTCTTCTGAGTTTCATATATAATGTGGATAATGGTAAAATAGTGACATTTTTTTTCCAGATTACTGTTTTGGCTTAACAATATGTTTTTTTGGCCAAAAGCTGTTTGTAAACATATCATACAACAATGTCTTAGGCATCAGGCGAGGTATTTGTGTAATATCATTCTGTCAGGTAAGTTAACAGGCATTAAACCTTTCAGACGTCTAGTCCCTATCACTATTGCTGTCAACATTCCTGACTTGAATCAAATCACTCTGAAGGACTGTACGCATTTAATTGCGTACACATTTTAAAAATGTAATGAAATTCTATCATTAAAATTTCTCATTAAAATTTGTTTGCAGACTAGTTGGAACATGTCCATGTTCAGCACAGTAACATGTATCAGCATGTGGTCTTTAAGCTTTCTGTGTGTGCCTTTATTGTTGAATAAACAGCAATAGTTTCTAAGCTAACATGAGCACACATTCATCAGAGTAACAATAAAAGGTGCCTGAAGTATGATGTATAAATGGCACTTCAAACATGAGTATTTCACTTTGCTAATAACAGATGAATCCCAGTTTTACCTCCGCTGCATCTGGCTGTTTAAGGTGCACGACCCTCACCGGACCCTGAACATCCTTCAAGATCTTCAGTTTAT